AGGGTCGGGGATTTTTTTTACTGATTACCGGTCTCGTATACCGTAAAGTAAGTAGTCATTAATCGTTATTATATAGTCGACATTACTGTTATTATATTCATTAGTCATTACTAATTTACCTTTGTTATTATAACCTCTAACTCTCTAACAGTCAAGCCGTCGTTAATAATCTATTATATRAATACTCCAATACTTTTAACAGAGCATGAAACAAAAACAAGGAAAATGTTGATACTAATTTCAATGATTGTTGTTTGCGTACAAATTATTAAAATCTTGCAGAAACCATTGTTGGTTTTTTATAACATTAAGTGGATATCTGATCTGCACTTACCAAAACGATGTCATCGGCTAAAGATTTTTCCGGTAACGGCACAAACATGTAATAAATGGACTCGCCAATGTAGTAAACGCTTTTAACCAACAGCAGTAACAGTTCCGTCAAGATGCTTTTCCACTTCATTTTGTCCGTTTTATTGGTCCTGTGMGGTAAAAATGACATGTGTATAACGTTTAAAACTCACTGCGTAATATAAGAGAGGAATTTTGGGTACTTGTGTAGTATATGCGCTACCTACCAAAAACTACATATACCTATAGTAGGTACCTAACTACTAATAAAGTTTAGCGGTATTTACTATTTTCACATACTAACATACTGATTAATAATAATTTATTTAACTGATATTTATACTTGATATACTGTGGACATATAGATATATTAAATGCCTAGGTATGAGGTGTGAGTGGTATGACTGTGAATGAACATCATTGTTGAGTATTTTAATATGTTATAAATTGTTGTGTTGTATTTAGAGGCTAAAATATAATTTTTTTTCATAATACACACTATATTACACTTGGCGTTGCAGCGGTGGACTTCAGCTCTACACCCCTAAACTCTAAAGTGTATTTAATACATAAAATGTCATATACACATAAACATGGAGTAGCAAATTTCTATTTTTCTTTATCTACACTCTACAGAGTATAAAAGTAGAGGCTATACATCACAACAAATAGTATCAAACTATATCAAGCTTGAAARCATATATGGTTCATTCATTATTCATAAGCTATTATAGTTAACAATAA